ACACACACACATATATATATATATATATATATATATATATATATATATATAACAACTATAAAAGAACAAAAATTACGAAATAAGAACAAGCATTAAGCACAAAAAAACTTACAAGAAATTCGTAGCGAGCTTGGAATACTCATCTATGGGCATAAATAGAACCACCTCACTATCTCTAGAGCCCTCCTCAACAAAAGAGCATAAAACTACATAAAAGAGTAAGGTAACACTCCTATTTATTGAAGGGAAGAATGACTCCTTGCGGACCCACCACATAAAATTACAAACATTAAAGACAAAAAAATCACATTTTGAAATGAACTTAAAGGATTCCTATCCTTCTTCTATGTCGTCGGATCCGCAACCAATACACCTAAGTGGACAGAAGGATGAAGGAAATCTTTTTAAATTTCAAAATGAAATTTTATGCGCATTTCAATGATAAGCATCCACACAAAATAGCTGAAATTACTTTTGGACAATGGCTGAGGTTAGAAACAAAGGAAATAAAAACCCATGTTTCAGTCCCTAGAGTCGATTGATGCCTTCAAGAGAGGGAGGGGAGAGGAATGGGAAAAGAAAAAATTTTGGAAGAAAATAGCTATCTTTTCATTGTTGAATTATGGCCTAAAAGGCAATTATTATAGAAGGAATAAATTTAAAAAGAAGACCTTATTCAACCTAATTGAAATCCATAATTAAAAATAATAATAATCCCTAAGAAAATTTCACAACACAAGCAACCCAATCTTTAAATAACCAATTAGAAAATATCAAATTTAAAACAAAATAAAACATTTTTATCCTAAAGCTAGACTTATCCCAAGGAAGGCTAGTCCTTATTAGTATATCTTATCCTAGTCAGCCAATGTTCTACGTGTTGTTCCTACGAATAATTAATGATCTAACTTTCAAAATATTGATCTCCTTTGTATGATGCCTGATTGATGACTCAATTATTGTTGTAATTGCTATTGACGTCTTCTTCGATCTAAGCACTATGAAATGAGAATTACTATGGTCAGCAGTCATCATAAAGAAATCAAAACCAAATAAGAAAATACTAATATAATGCACAAACTATATAAAAAGCTTCTCTTACAAATCTCTTTGAAATGGATGGTCAGGTTGATCATCCCTTTCATTAACTTATCTTTTGATAATAGGTCCCCTTTAATGATTATTTCAATCCTATCAAATAACAGCTTTAAGTTGAGGAAAAGCTAATCTTCCTTCTTGCCAACCAAATAACTCAACTTTGTTTGACAATTAATATTTCCAGAGACTTCTAGGAGATTTTTAGAGCTTATTTTAAACACTTGAATTGTTAGAACCTTTTGGAACATGAATTTTATATAGCATTGCAACTTTAGGAGTCCCCTGTATTATGGTTCCCTATAGTGTTAATATCCGCTTCTACAAATATTCTAAATCATATACTGGGTACATTTAGACGGTGCTCCTGTACGAATTAAAAAGAAAAAGGAATATATATTACATAAATTTTATGAATGAATATGATGGATTTTATATGATGGGATATGTATGATGAGATATGTTTAAATGAAACAAATGCAAGGAAATGAATAAAGTAAAGCAAAAGTACACCAATATAAAGGTTAATTCTATTGTATTTTAGTGAATTTTATGCATATTAAGTGATGATGAGAATTACCCAGTGAGTTTACACTGTAAACTCAACCCATCCTCCTAATGTTTCAGGTAAGTTTTCAGTGATTTCAAAATGGCTGAAAGAGAAGAACTTGTCTATGGAAGGCGGCATGCAAATGACGACAGGTAATTTATGATTTGTGTATTAGTGACTCTTCAGTTAATAGAAAAGTTTATGTTGATGAGTTATTATTATATTGATGGAAATGTAATATTGTCCGACTTTTCGTACCCGCCTCATTAGATCGAGCATCCAGGCCGGGTCGTGACATACGACTTGGTTTGGTTCGGTTCTATAGTAATGTCTCCACCATAGAGCTTTCAAAAGTTGATAACGCACTGACTTCTCATTTTGTTGCTTGAATTAGCTAAAGGTAGGCTCTTTAATCTCTTTAATGATGGAAGCGACTCCACTAGTAACAACTCTTGCACCATTGCTTTTTTAGACGACATTGTTTTTTTTTATACTAATATCTTTGGGTAGCTTAAGGTACACTATTTTGTAACTGCATGTGGTCTTTACAACTCCTTGTTAGCCTTTTACTTTAATGAAATCAATTTTGATGATTGAATTAAGGTACATCAATAGATTTAGCAAAAATATGTTGGAGATGGGCTATATGTCTTCCTAAATGGACCTCTTTGGTGATAATCTTTATGCCTCCTTAACAAATGATATTGATGCGCCTTGGAAGCAAAGACAGCTAGATAAGAAGAATAATGCTGGAGTACAAATATACGGGGCTGATTTTTTATTACTCTTCCAATAATAGTGAAAGATACAATTAATCTATTATTCAAGAGGAAGATTGATTTTCCGACAAACTCTAGCTGCTGCTAGTAAACTCACAAACAAGCTTAGCACGCATAGGATGATAATCCTAACAAAACTCCCTCTTAAATAGCCATAACACACAATAAACCTAATGAAAAACCTTCCTAAACAACTCCCCTTTAATTCCTCCTACTTACATAATAAATAATAGCTCCCCTGGGCCCCACAAGGGGGCCCGAAATTCCCCCTGCTGGCGTATCAATACTCTTGCCCCATTGCTTTTTTAGAAGACATTGTTTTTTTTTTTTTGTACTAATATCTTTGGGTAGCTTAAGGTACACTAATGTGTAACTGTATGTGGTCATTAAAACTCCTTTTTAGCCTTTTAATTTGGTGAAATCAATCATTGATGATTGAATTAAGGTACATAAATAGATTTGGCAATAGTATGTTAGAGATGGGTTATTTGTCTTCCTAAATGGACCTCTTGTGTGGTAATCTTTATGCCCCCTTAACAAATGATACTGATGTGACTTGGAAGCAAAGATAGTAAGATAGATAAGAAGAATAATACAGGAACACAAATATGGGGGCTAATTTTTTATTTCTCTTTCAACAATAGCAAAAGATATAATTGATCTACTATTTGAGAGGTAGATTGACAATATTCTCCCACAAACTCTAGCCGCCGCTAGGAAACTCACAAAACAAGCTTAGCACACATAAGATGATAACCCTAGACAAAAGTCCCTCTTAAATAGCCATAACACACAACAAACATAATGAAAAACCTTCCTAAATAACTCACCCTTGATTCCTCCTCGTACATAATGAATAATAACTCCCCAGGGCCCCACAAGGGGGGTTGAAATTCCCCCTCCTATTGTATCAAAGATGAACCAAAATAGGCCCACCATGGGACTATTTTGGTTCATTTTCAAGGACTTGAAGGACCAAAATGGTCCTTCAATATAGTTGCAAAAGGATTATTTTGATCCTTCATAAAAAATTAAGGGGCAATTTTGGCCTCCTCCCATTTCAATTATATGAATCTAAAAGAATATTGCATTATATAAACTAATAAACTTTATTTCAAGCAAATGGATCCATAAGTCATAATATTGTTGACACATTTGAATGTTGTCAACTAAGCTTGTCGTTTGTGTTTGGCTTGACAATAAACAAGCCAAACATGAACATGATTTTTTAACTCGTCCAAAAATTTCAGCTTGCTTGTGATCGGCTCAATAGTTAACAAACCAAACTTAAACAAAGCTCCATTTTTTCATGTGCAGCTCAATTATAGTCCTACACTCCTAATTGTGGCATTACATTGGAGCATTTTGCAAATTTTATCCTCAATGAACCACCAAAACACTTTGTTTTCTGCACATAAGTTGAGGGAGTCTGTAAGTAAATCGAATAGGATTGCGTTGATATTGGATAAATAAAACAAGAAAGCATACCTTGCTACAGCTAAGATCACTCCTGCTGTTACAAGCAAGCATCCAAGAATTTGGTTTAATGAGTACCTTCTTCTTAATATCAATACAGATAAGACAAGCTGCCATACCAGGAAAGCCTGCAAGCAGCCAAAAAAAAAAACCCACGCGGGTTCATAGATATAATTATGATGCAAACTTTTCGAGTTGAATGGAGGCTTCCACCAAGCAAAAGCGAATATATCTACCAGGTATTCAATTTACTCCTAAAAAAGTTCTACATAAGTATATGGTACACCCACTCAAGTGGCTAGTTGAAAGAACAGATTCTGTTTGATTCTAAAAGGTTCAAACCAGAATAAGTTATTGGGTCAAGTCAGGGTAGTGCTTATAGATTGGAATTGTTAAGGTTGAAGTCTAACTGATTAATTATGTTTAATCACATCGTTAGAATGGACTGAGAGAACATCCAATAGATTAGGCTTACCAGCAAATCTTATTTTAGAATTGGTTTACTTCTTTAAAGCATCTCTGGTTGGACCAGTTGTCTCAGACTCCCAGTAACAAAAAATTATTATGTGCGGTGTCCGGATGTGCTCAGAGTCCAATCCGGACGTGCCATGTCACCCAATACACAGTGCATTGGGTGACGTAGAGCGTCAGGATTGGGACACATCCGGAGTCCGCACGTAATAATCTCTCCCCAGTAACACAGAAAGGATGTTGGAGAATCAGTAGAGGTCATATCAATCAGCAAGAAGGTGACCATTACTAGAGACAGAATGTTTATTTGAAGAATCATTACCATGAAAAAACCAATATTGATTGCTATAATATTAGACCAAAGTAATGTAATTCAGATAAATCTGCAGTGTTATTGAGGAAAAAGAAATTCTGCCATTATTTTTTTATTGCAAACGAAATAAAATAAGCATCACCTGAGATAATATAGGTATTGCAGGTCCCGGAAGCATAGCTGTACGCAGCAAAAAAAGGTAAAAGGAATGAAAAGGCATCAGAGCATTCAAATCACTTTTAAAAGCTAATTCTATGCCCAAAGAATAAGGTTATTAATTTCCATTTTACAAGCATATTAAAAAGAAAACTACCAGCACATCTAACTAAAGCATTGATATAATTTTTTTTTTTCAATTTACCTCCAGCAGACATCCCACAAGCAACTCCAAGGGCCTCTAGAAGACCAATAGCCATAAATCGAGATTTTGGAACTGCCAGCATTTCTTTGGTAACAATTCCAAAGTTGCATCTAACATAAAGAATAGAGAAATATACTGCCACATACCTGCGTTTAAAAACTGTTTGCTTTACACAATAACTGACATAAGTAGATGAGTAAGACATCTGGATCAATAAATATGTTGTGATAAAAGAATAAAGGCGAGGCAATCAAAAACAAAGTTGAAAGTAAAAAAAAAAAAAAGATATTTTATACAATAAAATCAGCTAAAAAGAAAAGTTGAAAGTATGGATACCAATGCCTAAAACATGGAAATCAACCAACGATAATGATGACCATTGTTCCCAAAGGACAAATTCTGTATGTACAGATTCTCCACATAGAAGAGGAGCTCTGACTCTTGAATTCAGTGTGAAGCAAACCAATTTTGCAAGCCGAAAATGAGAGCAAGCCAATCAAATTTCAAGAGAGACGTCATCTTTAGTGTGAACTCTCCGCTTGCACACATTGTTAAAGTGAGCCTAACCCCAGGAATTGTCCCTCACAATAAATTAAGATGCTTAAGCCAAATAATTCAAAGGACTGAACACAGTTCAACAGAACTTCTGCGGTGATTCTTTCTAATTTCTCTTGTAGGCACATACTTCTTGAAAGCAAGAAAGAAATGTTGTGTAACATTGAAGTCTATCCATGTGTTGGCAACGTTTTATGATGTTTCTAAACAGCTGTTAGCTATTAATAAAGTTTCCTACCAGCCTATCCAAGTTCTAAGAGGTCTAAATGTTTGCATCAAGTAATTGCACTTGGTTGTAAGGAAGTTTGTAGAATTTGTCAATTAAGAATTAAGGTTCTTGTGTCTTGTTTCCTTGTTGGTGAGTCATCAGTGTTAATTGTCCTATTAGTTCTCATACTAAGTTGCTTAATATAGGGTGTGATGTAGTTGATTGGAGGAAGAATTGGATCGACTAGAAGGGAAACTGATACGGCCAGGCTGGACAAGGCAAGGAGGTTAAGGGGGTGAGGCCCAGTAGGGAATTAATACATTGTATTAGGAGAAAATCTACTAGGAAAACCTTTCCTAATGAGATCATTTCCTAATTGAATTATTTTCAAATTAGTGATGAAGGTATCTTAGGAAGGGGACTGAATAAGGAAATCATTTCCTAATGAAATCCTTTCCTAATTGAATTATTTTCAAATTAATGAGATAGATATATTAAGAAGGGGGCTAATTTAGTAGGGAGAGAGGAAGCCTATTGTCCATAGTAAGGTTTATTTTATTCTTATGCATAATTTTATCTTGAGTGGTGTAGTTTTCTTTTGAGAGGGATCCTAAAAGACGCCAAGGGTTTGCGAGAGAAGATCCTCCTCTCGAAAGAGAATCAATTATATCTTGCTTCTTGTTATTTGATTTCCTAGCAATAAAATTCTGTTATTTTGCTAAAATGTACTGTTGTTCACTGATTTTTGTTGTTCAAGACGTATCAAATTGGCATCAGAGCACGTTCCTAGATCAAAAAACAGATTTTTGTTGCTGATTTATGTTGTGATCTTTCTTATCATCCGCTAATTTCAGCTGTTTGGAGGGCATAACAGCGTCAAAGTTGCTGTTTTTCACCAGGAAGACCTTGATCCGGATACCAAGGTGGAAAAAGAGTTTGAAGCATTGGAAGAAAGGTTGGAGGGGGAAGTAGGGCAACTACGAGTGGAAGTGGGGATCAATAAATGAACGTATTTCAGCGATAGAATGAACGTTTGGGAACATGGAGGAAATGATGAAGCGGGTGTTCGAGCTTCATACTAAAAAGGTTCCGTCGGGAACAAGAAGAATCAGGAAGATGGACAAGGAAATGAAAATTTTAAGGGAGGAAGAAACACCCCCACTTGGAGCCTATTCCAAGAAGGGGGATGGGTTGGGAGTATGCAGGAAGGAGGGAATGGGAAGAAGAGGGCAGGCGGGCTAGATTTGGAGGAAGAAGAGGATATGAACGACGAAGGGAAGATGGGGAACAATGGAGGAACCACAATAGTCACGCCATGGGAGGAATAGGGGTAAAAGGGGATATTGGGGCAAAGGAGATTAGAAGATTAGGAAGCTGAAAATGCATGTATTTGAAGGAGATGACGTACATAGGTGGATATACAGGGTGGAGAGATATTTTACAGTAAACAGTTGATAGAAGATGAGAAATTGATGTTCTCCACCCAATGTCTAGAAGGAAAGACACTAGCATGGTACTAATGGCAAAAGGCAAGGTAATCAATCTGTTCGTGGGATGAGTTCAGGGAACGCTTCTTGGAGCACTTCAAGTTCAACAAAATGGGAATTACTATGAGCAATTCTTTGCCTTGACACAGGAGGGCACTGTGATGGAGTATTGGGAAATATTTGAGCTTCTATCAGGATGTGTAGGGAGATTATCAGAGGCAATATTAGAGAGCAATTTCATGAAAGGCCTCAAACCAGAGTTGAGGGAAGCAGTACGGGTGGCAAGACCCCGTGATCTGGGAGAGACAATGGAGTTGGCACAGATGATTGATAATAAGAAGTCACTACAGAAGAGTAGTAAATGAGGCAATAGAGGAAGCTCTTACCGCACGGCAACCATTTTCCTGGCACCTAGGGTGCAAACCGTACCAATTAAAAGGGAGATGCCAAAGGAGGGCAGTTCAGGAGCCCAACTAAGAGGAGATTTCAAAAGGCTGATTGAGACCAAATTACAAGACAAGATAGCAAAAGGACTATGTTTCAGATGCGACGAGAAATTTACACCGGGATATAGGTGTAAAAATCGCACATTGTAGGTTCTCATTTTGTGTGATGGGGAAGAGGTGGATGAAAAAAAGGAATTTTAGGAGGAAGAAGAGGAAGGGGAGCCCGTGCGTTTGGAGGTGACGAAAGTTTCATTGAACTCTGTAGTGGGATCTATGATGCACCGACACGGCACTTAAAGAGGGTAAGCAGTGTCGGACACGGACACGCGTCGGACACGGCATAGACACGTCCGACACGGCATTAGAGTGTCGCAATTTAAAAAATTAAAATTAAAATCGGACACGCGTGTCCGACATGCATGTCCGGTTATTAAATGAGGTATCGCTATGTACATGCTCGGTATCGCTATGTACATGCTCGGTATCGCTAGGTACATGCTCGGTATCGCTAGGTACATGCTCGGTACCGCTCAGTACATGCTCGGTACCGCTCAATACATGCTCGGTACTGCTCAGTACATGCTCGGTACCGCTCAGTATATGCTCGGTACTGCTCAATATATGTTCGGTACTACTTAGTACATGCTCGGTACCGCTCAATATATGCTAAGTACCGCTCAGTACATGCTTGGTACCGCTCAGTATATGCTCGGTACTGCTCAATATATGCTCGGTATTGCTAGGTGCATGCTCGGTACCGCTCAGTATCACTAGGTACATACTCGGTACTGCTAGGTACATGCTCGGTACTGCTAGGTACATGCTCGATACTGCTAGGTACATACTCGGTACCACTCAGTACCGCTAGGTACATGCTCGGTACTGCTAGGTATATGCTCGGTATTGCTAGGTACTTGCTCGGTATCACTCGGTATCTTCCCATACAAACACTTTACGAACTTTAAAAACAAGCAGAACTTCAAAATTACTCTTACAATAAAATTTTGTTCCGGGGGCGCTGCCCCCGGAAACCTGTGTCTGTGTCGTGTCGTGTCCGTGTCCGTGTCGGTGCATCATAGAGTGGGATTCACCCTGAATCACACAATGAAGGTAAGGGGGCGTATAAGAGGAGAGGCGGTGATGATCCTAGTGGATAGTGGGGCTACCCACAACTTTAAATCAAACCAGGTGGAAGACAAACTAGGGCTGAAACTGGTAGACACGTGAGGGTTTGGAGTGATGATGGGTACCAAAAAAGTAGAGAAGAGCAGAGGGATATGTCAGAGTTTGGTGGTAGAGCTACAAGGGATCCACATCAGGGAGGATTTTCTTTCATTGGAGTTAGGAAGTACTGACTTGATCTTGGGCATGAAATGACTATAAACTTTGGGTGAGACCAAGATGAACTGGAAGGCTTTGGCTATGGAGATTCAGGTGGAGGGGAGAAGGGTGGAAATTAAGGGAGACCCCAGCTTATCAAAGGCAATGGTTTCGTTGAAAACCATGGTTCACGCCCTTCCAAGGGAAGGAGATGAATTCTTGGTGGAGCTCGACAGTCTAGAGGGAGGAGAGGCAGAGGGTGAAGAGGACATTCCTGGCATTGTCCAGCCCATGCTTCAGCAGTTCAAGAAGGCCTTCCAGCTTCCCCAAGGATTGCCACCCCCACAGGAGCACAAGCGCTCTATTATTATGAAGGAGGGAGTTTCCCCCATTCATATTCAACCCTATCAATACCCCCATATACATAAAGATGATATTGAGAAACTAATTCGGGAGATGCTTGGAGCTGAAATCATAAGGCCCTATGTGAGCCTCATCTCAAGTCCTGTATTATTAATGAAGAAGAAGGATAAGAACTTGAGGTTTTGCGTAGACTATCGTTCCTTAAATAAGGAAATAGTACCAGACAAATTTCTCATAACTTTCATCGATGAGTTGTTAGATGAGTTGCATGAATATGTGATATTTTCCAAAATCGACTTGAAATCCAAATATCATCATATTAGAATGCGGACAGGAGACATCCACAAGACAGTTTTTCGGACGCACAAAGGGCCATTATGAGTTTTTGGTGATGTCGTTTGGCCTCATTAATACACCGGCCACCTTCTAGTCCCTGATGAAAAAGAATTCCAGCCCTACTTACGAAGATTTGAATTGTTTTTTTTTTTAAATGATATATTGGTTTACAACAGGTAAGAAGGAGAATATTTCGAGTATCAAGGAGTTGTGCTGTCAACCTTAAGGGAGCACTCCTTATATGCCAATAAGAAGTAATGTTCGTTTGCCCAGCCCATACTATGCGGCATGTGATATCTCAGAAAGGAGTTGCAGCAGACCAGAGTAAGATTGAGGCCATGCTCAAATGGCCCATACACAAAAATCTGAAAGAACTGAGAGGATTCTTGGGACTCATTGGCTACTATCGAAAATTTGTGAAGGGAAATGGATTAATAGCAGGGCCATTGACAGAACAGCTCAAG